TAATGAAATGCAACTGCAGCGGCAAGGATTGAGCCCGCTACCTTTGAGTCTGCGGCCAAGCACCATAACTACTGTTCCATTGAGGCAGAGAGGTCCAAACGTGTTGTTGGGCTCATTGGCACATTCTGAGAAAATTGTAAGGATGCAACCCACATAAATAAAAATGGAAGGGGACAGGAAAGGGTGCCAAATTGCAACTTACTTTATTTGAAAAAAAAAAAAAAAAAAGCTCCTTTTTATTTGCTTGTAGATACGGTTGTTTGGCTATGCATTGCAGAATGTGTGGCTGCAAACCACTTTTTCATTTTTTTTTTATTTATTTATTGATACTGCGATCTTTTACAAGATTATAGCAGGGATGGTACAAAACATAAACATAAACATCAGTGGAAACAGGCAAACAAACAATCAAAAACAAATGTAATACAAACTTATGTAACTGATAGGTGCAGTGATTCTTCGAGACAAGAGAATCAACAAAAAGCAAGGTACAAACATAGATAACAATCATTTCTGTAGCGACTCTTCAAATGCAGACAATGTATTTAGGGTAACAACATCGTTATGTAGATTGTTCCAATCCACGATAGTCCTCGGAAAAAAAGAATATTTGAAACAATTTGTTCGTTGCATCAATGGAGAGATAGTAAGATTGTGTCTCTGTCTTGTTCCGTAACCCAATGAAAAGTGAATATGTGATGTGTCAACTGCATAGTGACCTTTTATTAACTGGAAAAGAAATTTTAAGCGCAATATTCGATTTTGGTACGGAATGTTTGGAAATTTGCTTTTCAAGAGAAGTTTTGTAATTGAAGTAGGACCGTACGAGTTATAAATGAACCTAACAACCTTTTTTTGCACCCTTTCAAGTTTTTGGATATCAGTCTGAGTGAACGGGTGCCTTATGACCACAGCATACTCCAGTATAGGACGGATAATGGCATTGTAAGCGAGGAGACGAATACTTGTGGCGGTGTCTTCATGGTGCGGTGATTGTAACTAAAAAGAAATAAAGTGACAAGGGAGATTATTGAAGCAGAGAGGATTTGTAGGTTACGGCTGAACTGTGTCAGCACACCCTATTTCGGTCTTTGTGAAAAATAATTGTCCTTTCTGAGATTGTAAGATTTTCGTGCATGGAATTGAGGGTTTCTGATCTGTTTTGTCTTTTTTTTTTTTATTTCCTGAGGGTATATATGTACGCTCATCGAAATAATATTTTGTGGCAAGTAAGCAGCTCCCCTTTGTCCTTTCCCTTGTCCTTTGTCACATATTTACGTGCTATGCCATTAATTGGCTGACTGCTTAAAGTGACATCAGATTTACAGTTTTGAGAAACTTGAGCGGGGGATCATAATAGTGCTTTTATAGGTATTAAATGAACCCAGACCATCAAATGAGTCGAGGTATAGTACTGAATGGATGGCCACGGTTTTTCATACATGCGTTGTTGAAAGTTTTCTTGAAGCGTATCGCGACCCCTTTAAAAGTGTCCCAGCTTTCAATCTTCTCCTCGTGATTGTTGTACGATACCTTTGCTGTGTTTTTCACATAAAACAACATGTTGGCCAACATGAGAATCGGGTCATAGCGATTGATAGCACTGGTACGTTCATAGCCAGCCATCCACTCTTTGATGTCTACTTCATCCCTGCCCCAGAACGTCCCAGGGCTTTTTGGATGCATCAGCACATACATTGGCAGCGTTGTGGCCGAAGCAGGCATTGCAGTGGTGGGATACAGGCATTGTTGTAGCCGATGGAGATGTGGTTGCAGTGTGGGACCCGCTTTCCATCCTGAAAACTTTAAGCTGACGACCACTGTGGAGCTCCTGTTGCGCAGCGTTGCTTCTACCCAGTACCTCCTCCAAATTGTCACGGGGATCACGAATGCGCAAGAGGAACATCGGTCAGTGTGTGTGTGTGTGTGTGCATATATATATATATATATATATATATATATATATATATATATATATATTACAATATTTAGAAGCAACTGCACCCCTGAATAGCCGCCAGAATGTCGTGCAGCCCTACAGCCTCCTCTTTGTCTTTTTATCTGCCATGACGGGCTCATGCATCGTGCCTCGCACTAATATAAAACAACCATAAGGAATTGCTCGATTACAAAAGCGGAATGCTAAAAAAACATGAAAAGAAAGTGTTGGAAGAATCTGTAGACTAAACATTATATTGACTGCAAAAAATTTTTACAGATCTAAATGTTTTGGGAAAATACTCTGGAAAAATGGCTATATTTAATGTTGATAGAAATTGATTTTTGGCAACACCGTAGTTTTAACATTTGGCATGGAATACCACACACACACGCACATACACACACACACACACACACACACAGGTGTGAGAGAGATAGAAATAAGTGTAATGCTTGGGTGGGCAATGCAGTCGAAAAAAGAAGACGGCAAAAGTACAAAATGCAATTCTCGCGTGCGTTTTATACGCTTATCTTCTTTTTTAGACTAAATACACACACACACACACACATATATATATATATATATAGTGGGCATCTATTATGCGCTTAATCCTGATCTGGACAGCAGTCAATTATGATCACCTGTTCTGGCTGACAATCATAGTCTTTGAACGTGCGCTTCATCTTCGGGTCCGTTGCGCTTGTTCGTTTCCGAGTTCACGGCCAATAAACTTCGTTACAACCGAGTCGTTATTATGTATGTATGTGTGTGTATATATATATATATATTGTAATGGGGAGTATTTAGTAAGTGAACGCCGGGTGGGCTAACACTGCAGACAGTATGCAAGGATGCAGGACAAGAGGGCAGTTCAGACACAGCCCCACAACAACATCATCGTTTTCATTCAGTCTGCGTCGTTTCTGCACCCGCGTCTGAGGTACCATCTATACCCGTGACATTAACCCGGGCCGCAAAGCACCATCCCGGTGCCTGCTGCTATTAGAAGGATGGGTCACTGTGGTAGGGCTTCAGGCGAGACACATGCACAATGTCGCTTCTGGATGGAACAGTGGGTAGGAGAAATTTCATAGGTAACAGGTGTGACTTGGCGCAGAACTCGGTAAAGCCCAACGTATTGCGATAAAAGTTTCTCGCACAGGCCGACACAACGGGATGGCAGCCACAGTAGCACGAGAGAGCCCGGAGAAAAAGTCGACATTCCAATGTCGGCTGTCGTACAGCGACTTCTGTGCTCTCTGTGACGATAAGAACCTGGAGCGGGCTACTGTACGTGCGATCAGAACACGGGAGATGGCATCTTGTGCGTACGAAGTGGTGGACGGAAGGTCATGCGCAAGCAGGGTATCGAAAGGTAGTTAGGTATCACGGCCAAAGAGAAGATAAATGGTGAGTAGCCGGCAGTTTTATGTTCATGATGGGACGAGTTCTAGGCGAAGGTTACGAACGGAAGGGCAGTATCTCAATCGGTGTGGTCGTCAGAAACATACATAGCAAGCATGTCCGTCAGTGTGTGGTTGAGGCGCTCAGTAAGTCCGTTCATCTGAGCCAGAATTATGAGGCAAGTGTAAAACATCTGCCTGTGTTCACTGTGGCTACACCAGTTGATTGCATGGTTTGCCAGCCACGTTATCCGTACGGTAAAGCAACCCATAGATTACAATCGTTTCGTGGGTGCGTGCTCATGCCTGTTCTAAAGCTGGAATCAGCCACCTGGCAGCCTGAAACACTCGCGTTCGCTGACATCTGCATTGCATTCTAGTGGATGTGCTTGCTGCGTGTCATCATTGATGCACACAGCCTCAACTTGAGCAGTAAATGTCCATTATTGATCCATCGTGCCGCAAGCAGTTCCTTCTCCGCAATGGAGCATTCATGAACAGCGGCAGTTTCTTCCAGTAACTGCTTGTACGTACGTGGGTTTATGAGCGCGCCTGCACCACTCGCAAGTTTCTCAGTGACAGCGCACAATATCCCTATATAGCTTTCCTCGGGACCATTATATCCGGGTTTCCCAAGCAATCTCAGTTGAACATAGGCGAACTCGGCTACAGCCTGCTTGGCAAATGCCCTCGTCAATTTTAGGCTGGTTCTCTTTAGTTGATAACTCGGCACTAAAGTCTTTCTGATGATGCTTATGTCGACACTGGACTCGATGCTGCCTTGAAACAGTGACTGGCCACATGCGTGGTTAATTGTTTCGATAAAGTGAAAGATGCGCACTCTAACAGCATTTTCCAAAGCAATGACCTCCACACCGACTGAACAACCACTGTTGTCAGTTTTCCTTTCGTTCCCCAAAATTGCTTTAGCTGCTGAGCTCGTTATGTAGACACTTGCTGCCATCGCTGTCAGAGTGGTCCACTATGGCTTGTGCCCACTGCACAATAGTATGGGCCGCTGACGAAGATGTTCCGGCCAACATCACTACGCATTTCCAGGTATACCAGGAAAAGGCCGTTGAAGGCAGTCGACATAAGTGCCAATTCCTAGCATTCGCTCGTAGTTCGTTTTTGTTTGTCAAGCCGCAGGCGCGCGTAACTACACCGACAGCTCCTATAAGGGGAAAGTCGATTATGCTATCTATAGATAAAGTGCTGTTGCTGGATAGGATGTGAACTGTCTTCTGCCCTGAATATGTTTGATGATGAAATCACTGTGCTGTTAGGAATAAGCATCATAACTCTGTCCGCACGGAAATGTCCAAAGGCATAAAAGGCATTGTTAAAATATTTTGTATCTCTTATGATCTTCTATGATTTTTTACTGTCAAGATGCAAGTCCATTATATGATTGATTGATTGATATGTGGGGTTTAACGTCCCAAAACCACTGATGATTATGAGAGACGCTGTAGTGGAGGGCTCCGGAAATTTCAGTTCATTATATGAAGATATGTTTGTTATTGCAAAGTTTGTCATGAACTTCGTTATTTTTATTAATTTTTGCTACTTATTTAGATCTGCCACATGTATTAAGTGCAATATTGAAGAAATGCATTTTTTTTTCAACTTTTAAATGATGTTTCTCTTTGCAGCACGCCCAAATATTTACCTTTCCTGACCTCAGCCTGGATGATCGTCGGGTAAGTTGTTTGTGATGCGGCTTTCTAACGTGTAACTCGACATATGTCTGTTTACAGTAAATGGTGTAAACTTGTGTAAGGTTTACTTTTCTTATTTTTAATTTGTGCAGAAGCTTTCTCGGTGTCGCCCATATGCAATTGTTCTTTTTTTTGCCTTTAACCCTTTAAAAGTATCATTTCTTGACGTAATGGCTTCATCCACGTAATAAATGCAACCCTGAATTCAGTTGTGAAAAGCTTTCTTTTGTTTCTTGTCTAATAATCTCACCTAGGAAATAATGCTGAGTAAGATTGGCGTTTTTCTGGCTAAAGTGGCTGATTGAATGAGTTGGTGATTCATAATTGCTTGAAATACGAGCGCGTAGCATAGGCAAGGACAGCCTAGATATGGACAAGCACTTACTATCAACTGAAAGTTTGATCGGAAAGCTGTGACAAATATACACTGACAGATTAAAAAAGCTTTCTAAGCTCGTACGATAAGAGCACATCACAAATCAAACATAAAGCCGATAAAAAGTATATATATCAGCCTCACCTTACCAAAGCCCACTTTGCCTTGCAGTAATTCCTTAATGCTTATGGCACCTGCTACCGTCCAAAAACGCAAGCTCCTTGGAGGACAGAGCTATTGACGGTTTACTCACACATGTCAAGTTGCCATGCACTATGTTTGCAGCCTCAGTTTCAATTCTTGTACATTCATCTTTGTGTTTATCAAACACAACTGTGCTGTCAAACTGAGATTCGCATGCACAGCTACTGGGATGTTGGACAAGAAGAAAAAAATCACCGTTGCGAATTTTGTACGTTTGTTCACCCAATCTGTCGTTCAGGCATCTTCCAGTTAGTTCAATATAACAGGTGTCACATGAAAGCAGAATCCTTTGATAAACGTTGCTAATACGATTTAAAAAATGGGCTCTGCACTTTTTTTTCTTTTCAATTGTTGTTTCTTATGTCTAGCTGCACATGTCAGCCTAGCCAGCTGAGAAAGCTTGTTTAGTTCAGAGGAAACTACACGAACACCCATGCTTTGCCCAACCTTTTTGAAGCGGTGGGTGACCTGATGCATGTAAGAAACAAGATATTTTTTTATTTTTCATGGTTGCTGTTATCTCGTTTTCTGCTACATTTCTCATGTCATTTTTAGCCCTCCGTTTTCTACGTTTTCTATGGATGTCTTTGGCCACAGAAACGAAGGCTAGCTCAGGATATCCTGCCGACTTAAGCCTAGTGGCTTGATTGTGGTAGTTGGCTTTCATTGAATCGACACAAGAACGGTCAATTGCATTAGTGAAATAAGTATTCACAACGCCTCTCTTGACAATTTTGCTATGAGCACACGTGGTAAGGCACAAGCGGTTTACCTGCACGGGGCTACACACCCAGCAGGTATGTTTGGCACTCAACGTAAGCCTGAGGTAAAGGAATGTAATGTATAAGATTTCTGGCATTTCATGATTCAATATGGGTGGATCAGACATCTTGTACAGCCGTGGCCTCGGCTGCACAAGACATCGTACAGCACTACAGTGCTGTTTATCAGCACTGTAGTGCGTCGCAGCACTTGAATTTAGCTGCAAAGGGCGACAGTTACCAAACCTCGTGCTCTTGAACATTCAGAAACATCGTGTTTTTGGTTTCATCGATATTTATAGTTTTGGTTTGTCAAGGCTGTGATAGCCCCCACAGCAGCTGTGAACTTTGATCCTCAAGGTGCGGTCGTATTCTCGATGCACTTGCGCTGCAATGTCATGTCAGGTATCAGCGCGAATGGCTTGTGAACCCTACGTGCGTCGTGCTCAACGTGAAGAGACTGTGAAAAGAGCGTTTCTTCCTTGCACGGCCATATTCTCTTACACGAGTGTTTTGTAGAGTTGCGGGATATTGGATCTAAAGGAGTTTGCTGCCAGCTTTACAATTTTGTCTATCACATTCATGGCTTCGGTGTTGCAGTGAAACGTTTTTATATAACTTGGTGACAATGTTCTGCAAAGAAAATAAGGATAGCGATAATCGTGCTCAGAAGCTGGTAGGTGTCTGGTTCCCAGCGCAGCCTAGCAAAGAGGTGCGCAGTACTGCTCACCGAGTGCATGCACACATTCTCATTCATTTGGCCGTTGCAGTGCGTTATGCGTGCTTATCGACTCGGTCGTTGACTCCCTTGCGTTCAGGTAAAAAAAAAGTGGCTGTATATAGCTAAAGATGTCATTTTTGAACCGCAAGGGTCAAGCAGGTAATACGGTAGGAACAAACTGTAATGTTGTATGAAGTGAGGCTAGCAGCTTTTTCTTTTGGATCTGATCTCCGATCTCGTGTAACTCTGTAGAATGCTGGTGTAAAAAAATAAAGTCATCTCAGGGAAAGCAACAATTTTCGCACAATCTATTCGTGACGATTTTGCTCCATGAGAAGTGTATGCGAGCCGCCAGCTGCTAGCTGCCGAGCCGGGGTGCGTGCCAGCGATAGTGACGGCCTCTTAGAAGCAAGTTCACAGTTGTTGCTCGAGTGATCGCCCTCCCCCCCCCTCTTCTTCCTCGCTTCTTTTCATACTCTTTCAAGGTGGGCGGAGTGCTTCCTCTCTGCCTCTACGGCCGGCCTCCCGAGCTCGACATGCGCCCTCTCAGCCATTTAGATGGGCCCGGCTCGTTCGATTTCTTCATCAGTCGCGTTCGTCGCCCCCGCTCACGCACATTCACCCGTGGGTAGAACGTACAATGCGCTGGGGTATGTTATCGATTCGAAATTTATACAAAACATGGTAGCAATGGCAAATACCTGTTGATAGTGTCTATGTAATTTATATCATAATAATAAGGCTATTGAACAATTTAGCTGATGAGTGCTTGAAAAAAAATGCAGCATTAGACAAATGTTGCTTTACTAGTTTTGTGTAATGGGGCTAATTCTGCTCTGTATGTTCTGACTGCTTTAAGCTTGCCGAAAAAAAACCCTTCTCGCTGCTCCAGGCCTGCTACAAAAAGCACTTTTGCCTGCTCCCAAACTCGTGTACTCCGTTACATCACTGCATAGATGATTGACAGTTTGTCTACCCAGGAATGATGAGAACAGGCATTGATTATATTAGCATGAGGGGGTCAAAAAACGCTGTCAAGGACAGCGTTCACCCGACGAATGCAAACATTCAGTGTCAGGGTTTCAGCACGAATCAAAGCGAAGCACACTGTGTGGCTATCAAGAATTTAGTCATAGAGCCACGCCAGGTTGTAAAAATGCTTTTCAAATAGACCATGTTGTTTGGAAAACGTCCATTGTAGTTGAAGTGCTGGGATATTCAACTTTACAAATATATTATATACGTACTACAGATATCACATTGGGTTAATGTTAATTGTAGTTAAGAGGAATCCGCTGAAGTTTATGTGTATAGCAGTGTCCAGGGGTACCATCCTATTGAGCACAAGAGCTACATATAAGCTTTCCTCTTATGGTGTTGTTATTACTCATGTTGCTGTGTGCAAGTCTGGTTATTAGAAACATGTATGTGATTGTTCAACCTTTGTCTATGTGTACAACATTTGTACAAATCTTTGTAGTCATATTGTAATATTTTGGTTAATAAAAAAATGAGAATTGCAGTCACCTTTCATCTTCATGCTTTACATAATATCCATTCTAATGGTGTGTGAGATCTGTTGAAATTTCTATCTTTGTTAACAGTAAAGCTGTTTAGCAAATTTTTTTTTGTATATCACATATAAAAAAAATTTCGTGGCAGATCCCACGTATCCTGGGAATCGATGTTATGCACAGCATGCGCGTGGAAGGTGACTGTGTTGTAATTTTTTGTATTGAGTGAAACACTATGTAGTATTCCTAAAGGTATGTACAAATGCACACACATACATTGAACAGCCGAATATGTTTTATATAACCAGTTGTTTACGGTTGTGTAACGATGCCAACAGCAACATGGATATTAGCAACACCAAAAGTGGTAAGCTGATATGAAGCTCTGGTGCTCGGGAGGATAGTGGCCCTGCACACTATTACATGAAGCAACTTCAGCAGATGGCACCAAACTTCAATTAACGTTAACCTGATGGGGCGGCTGTATCATAGGAGTATATGTGTAATGTTTATAAAATTAAATAGCCAGCACTGCAACTACAATTAATGTTTCATGAACATTAGTGTCTACAATAGAATCTCCATAATATATATTTGAAGGGAGCACGCAGAATATTGGTATTATCCCGAATCCATCTGAACCAAAAAGAAGTTAAAGCTGATCATGAAGACCAACAATAACTTTATTGGGGTCAGGCCAGTTCTTGCTGAAATTATTGTCAATTGACAAAAAAAGTCTTGCCAGCTTGCAAATCTTTCCAGCGAATTTCCTTCCGTACTTGTCGAAAACTACACTTGTGAGCATGCTCAGCGCAGCCACTTTTGTTTGCAAATCGCAAATTAACGAGCATTGAGCGATGCTGCTGACTGGATTTCTCGCTTCCAACTTTGGCGTGTGGTGGCTTTGTCAAGTCCAACGTGCATTGCAGAACTGTAAATTCCTGAAAACTTGCTGAACCCTAGAATGTTCATGCGGGACCCAATCTGTCCACTTCAGATCCAAGTGTACGGCCCTGTGGGAGAGAGGACAGTTCAACCTTTCCCGTCTCCCTAAAAAATATTGCTGATGGCCTTTCTTCCTCATAACCAAACAATTGTGCTATTTAATCTCAATTGATTGTGGGATGCCATACCTGTGTCCCAAACGAGTGAGTATAGCATCAGATCTCATACCTACTGATCATTGTGCCTTGATAGCATATATTCAGGCGATAAATTCGTGAACATGGGGTGTCGCTAATGTCAATGTTTTGACAAGTGGACTTTGTTCTCAAGGTCCCCCCCCCCCCACCCGCCTTTTATTCTTGGTTTGATCACCGACACTGGCCCCTCCGAACCAGTTTAATTTGTACCAGTGTTTTATTTTTAGGTGACATTTGTTGAATATTTTAAAAACTGGAAGTGCT